GACAATAATTCTATGACCAATTTGCATACCTAAACTATTTTACACATTTTTAAGAACAGGTTTTTAATCAGTATATTGTTTTAATAAAAAAAAATACATATATTACATGAAAAACTAGGCAGTGTGTATGTAGGTGTCTACTTATGGTTATTATTAAGCCTGTTCTGTTAACTGTTGGCTGGTGCTGCAGGAGTTAATGTGATATTAAAGGTTCTTTTTTTTAAATAACAAACATGTCATGGTTTCCCCCATCCTCTTCTTTTTGGGTTCCCCGCCGGGACTCCTGGCTACTCCCCCTTGACCAGTGACCCTAATAGCGAGCTGCATGCTATGGGGGCACAGGTGCGTGCTCACTGCCAAGCCCCACTCTATGCGTCCATTGGACACACAAGCCGTGGCTCGGCTCCTCCCCAGCTCTCTCCTCATTGGCTCACTGGCTGTGATTGATAGCAGTGGGAACCAGCAGAGAGAGACCTGGGACAACCGAGGCTCCTGCTGGATCGAGAGGGGGCTCAGGTGAGTATTAGGGTGGCTGTGAGGGGAGCAGCACACAGAAGGTTTTTTTTACCATCATGCATAGAATGCATAAAGGTAAAAAACCTTTAGCCTTTACAACAACTTTAAAGCTCAACCACACTGCATCTGAGCAACACAAGCCAAAAAGTGATATTTAATTCATTTTTAATTCAAAGCAAATTCCCCTATTCATCCATGTCTCCATGCTTTATTTTGTTGAGAAATCACTTTAAAAAAACACCCCTCTAGCATTTTTGGCCTTGGCCATCTTGAGTAAGGGCAGATGATTAATGAGCATATACTGTACTTCCTGGAATCCATCTGAGTGTGTGATTAACAAAGTGTGTTCCTGGTGTCATTCCATTGTGCATTTTGAAGGTGTCCGTCAGGTGGCCATTGACAAGCACCCCAGCTGTTGGGTTCCTGTATAGGGTGGCATCGCATGAAAGCATTTTTATTTTGCAAGCCTAGATGTTGCAAGGTTAGGTGCATGTAGTCCCAGGCCATTTTGTCAAGTGCCTTCTTAGTGTAAGTGGAAAGGAATGTTCTGATGACGGTTAATAGCTTTGACGGTGTTATCCCTTTATTATCGGCCTGGGATAATACGTACCTGATCAAGCTATATGACAGTTGGGAGCAGTAGCAAAAGGTGATTGGCCAATATCATAGTATGAATTTTCACATCATAATTCAATGAGGCCCTTCAGGCCAGGGCTCTTGCCTGTCTTAAGATTTGAAATTTCTTGCTGGACTTCTTTCCAAGTATAAGGCGTTTCCAGCGCTTGAGAAGTAGAATCAGAGAGTTTAGGGAAGCTGTGTTGGGTGAGGAATGCCAATATACTTATATATTTAATAAATATACTTAGCTTGGGGTATCGTGTTAGGAAAAATTGAGAAAAAGATCGGGGGCTGGAAGGGTTAAATAAATAAATAAATGTTGAGGATCTATATCCTATAATACATATTCCAAGGAACTAGGCAAAAATGTTATCTAGTGATAGCAAATCAACCAAAACTGGACCTGCTTATTATTCCTAAAAAACGTTCAATGCTCATGTACTGTAAGTAGTATTTTTCAATTCATAAATCAAAGAAGAATCGAGTTACATGATTTGGATGACTAAAAATCTTCAAAGACCATTAAAAATATTTTTTTATACTGCAGATTTAAGAATTTGAACATTATGTCTGGAAAGAACTATACAAAAAGTCTCAGAATTTGTTCTTTTAAGATTTGGAAACATTCACTTTTGAAACATGCATTCTTTATAATCTTCTTGATTATCTTTGTATTCCTCTGCTCAGGGGCGGACTGACCATTTGGAAACTTGGGCACTGCCCAAGGGCCCAGGGTCAGTAGGGGGCCCCATGAGATGCCCCTGGTACTTTTTTCATAGGCTTTTTTGAGTTTGGGAAAGAACACAGGGGCCCCATGATCCCCTATTGCCCGGGGCCCCATGAGTTGTCAGTCCGCCTCTGATCATTGTTTGATCTTCTGATTATTGTATTAGTATCCATCACCCAATCCCTTAAGTCCCCCTCTCATTTTCAGATCTCTTGATTTAAACCAACATGTATGGCCATGTTCTTCTTGGGGAGGAAACAATTACTTACTGTTGCTGCATTACCCAATTTTATTTTTTCAGTGGTACAATCATTACAGAATGTCTCCTCCTCTCAGTCATGTCCTATAATAGTACTTGGCCATTTGTAACCCTTTAAGATATTCCAGTATCATGAACACAATGTTTTGTGTCAATCTTTCAGCTTGGCTATGGCTGTTGGGTTTTGCTCTATATCTTAAAGCTGTTCAACCTGTATCATATTTTGACTTTTGTGTCAATAATGTCAATGGCCAATTCTTCTATGACCTCTTCCCTCTTCAGAAGCTGTCTTTCTTGGACTCTTCATTGGTCGAACATGAAGTTCTTGCTTTTTCTATGGCGATATTTATTTTTCCATGTGGCTTTACCATGGTGATGTACATCTTCCATACTATTTTTAGTATACCATCCACTACAGGCAAACAAAGAGCTATTTCAAACTGCAGTTCTAACCTTTTTTTAGTGGGGACATTTTATGGGACACTGATAGGCTGGTCATACATGAATAATTTTTTTTCATTAAACCAGCGGGTTGAACAAAAAAAAAAATGACCCAGTTCCCACATCCACACATTCGATGTGGATGGGGGAATCACTCCCCCTGTGCTATTGTGTTCTGACTATGAGGACACTTCCCCTACCTAAAGTTCCCAGCTAAAGTCGGTGACACTGATTGTTTGGAAAAAAAACAGAAAGGATGGTTGAGTAGAAGTCGATCAAAAGATCAACTTCTGTACAACCAGACTACCCATACATGGAATGAAAGTTGGCTTTTCAACAGAAATTTCAATCCATGTATGGCCACCCATAGCTAAATACTTTTTGCCTTCTAAAAAACACTCTTTCCTAATCAATAAGATTGTACCTCTACTTGACAGTGTATTTCAACCTTATTATATGTAGTCTGAAGAACCAAGATTTCAGGACAACACTTTCCTAAAAATAATCCCTTTTAATTAAGGAGTCCGTTCTGATAAACTGATATCATCTGTGCTGAGTTTTCAGGTCTGCACACCTGCTATGCCCATTGTAAGTGGTTCCCACCACAGGTTGCTCTCCTCTTCTGTGCAGTTGATGGATGGACCAGCAATTACATTGTATCCAGGTGAGGGAACTTCCGGTGATTGTACTTCTGGCTGATGCTTTTTTGCTTCTCCAGGCATGTACACTGCCGATGCCAGCTTCTGTACCAACTGATGCGGTTCCTTTGCTCCAAGGTCCTCTGGTGACCTTTTTGGTGTTCAGGTTTACACATCACCTCCTCACTTTTCTCTGAGTGGCCACAGTATTGAGTAGTATAAATCCTACTGTTGAACATCACACCATTGTACCACCATACAGCATCCGGGGAGCACCAGTCTATGACTTTATGGCCTCTCTTTGCATGGTTACACAATTGTTTGGTTTTTGAATTAAAGTGGACTTCTTTGTCATCATCTGGGAGCCGTTTTGTATATTTGAACAGTTCCATTGGCTCACCAGACACAATTACTAATATTTAAACTTTATCAGCATTATCCACACCTGTGAGCACCATACAATCTGTCATTGCCATTTCTTACCAACCAGATTCATTGCTACTGTTGGGTTGCACAAGATTTGGATCATTACCTCCATGGTGGATGTAAATAGCGCTTTGGCAACTATACTTAGAAATGTTAAATACACATTTTCAAAAACTGTCAAATACAAGGCACAGAGAAAAAAATAATTTACATTTCCGGTTAACCTTTAAAGCCTCCAACCTTCAAACCTTCAAACTGCTATACTTTAGGTAAAGCTTATTAATGGAAAATGAACATGGTTTTTGTGGGGCACTGCCACCCTAAGCATAGGCATTCTATTGTGAAAGAAGAGAGGTATCAACAGTCATATCTATCAAAACAGAGGAAGTGGATGTCATAAGACTGCAGGATAGATACAGAAAGAGTAAAGTAGAGGAAGGGAAAGAAAAAAGAGGACAACAAGGAAGATAAGAAAATAGAGGGGGGGGGGATGGTGAAGGAGGCTAGAACAGGGGTGGGCAAACTTTTTGACTTGAGGGCCGCAATGGGTTCATATATTGGACCCGAGGGCCGGACCAAGAGTAGATGAATGATGTGTATGTGTCATCCATAGTAAGCATAGTAATTAATCCCCCATATAGTAATTCATCCCCCATAGTATTTCATCCCCCATATAGTAATTCATCCCCCATAGTAATTCATCCCCCATATAGTAATTCATCCCCCATAGTAATTCATCCCCCATAGTAATTCACCCCCCATATAGTAATTCATCCCCCATAGTAATTCATCCCCCATAGTAATTAATCCCCCATATAGTAATTCATCCCCCATAGTAATTCATCCCCCATAGTAATTTATCCCCCATATAGAAATTCATCCTCCCTATAGTAATTCATCCCCCCTATAGTAATTAATTCCCCATATTAATTCATCCCCCATATTAAGTCCCTAAGTCCCCCCTGTGTCAATTCACTTACCTTTGCTCCGCGCGTTCCTCTCGCCGTGTTCCCGCGCCGTTCCGGTCTTCAGGGCGGACTGTGAGAGGAGCCTAGCTCCCCTCACGTTCGTCACGCTGCCCCCCTACACACATCCTGACAGCCATCCTGACAGTATCATCCTCCGCGGGCCGGATTAAAAGGTCCGCCGGGCCGTATACGGCCCGCGGGCCATAGTTTGCCCATTGCTGGGCTAGAAGGTTAGGAGTGAGATATCCAGGAGTGAGGTTCATCAACTGAAGTAACCACTTGAATGAGAGGTGAAGCATTTTCACAATGTTGGACTTCACTTGTTAGCTCTAGTTACATGAATTTGATGACTAAAACCTTCAAAGACGAGTAAAAATTTTTTTTTTTTATACTGCAGATTTTCAATTATGTCTGGAAAAAACTATACAAAAGTCTCAGAATTTGTTCTTCTAGGATTTGGAAACCTTCACATTTTTAACATTGCATTCTTTATAGCCTTCCTAATCATCTTTGTATTTACTATCACAGGAAATCTTCTAATCATTGTGTTAGTATCCATCACCCCAGCCCTTCGGTCCCCCATGTATTATCTCCTAAGCCATCTCTCATTTTCAGATCTCTTAATTTCAACCAACATTCTTCCAAACATGCTTGGCAGTCTTCTTCTTGGGGAGGAAAAAATTACTTACTGTGGCTGCATCACACAGTTTTATTTTTTCAGTGGCACAACCATTACAGAATGTCTCCTCCTCTCAGTCATGTCCTATGATCGCTACTTGGCCATCTGTAATCCTTTGAGGTATTCCAGTATCATGAACATGATGATTTGTGTCAATCTTTCGGTTTGGCCATGGCTGTTGGGTTTTACTCTAAATTTTATAGCTGTTCTACCTGTTTCAGATTTTGATTTTTGTGCTGATAATGTCATTGACCATTTCTACTGTGACCTCTCCCCTCTTCAGAAGCTCTCTTGCTCAGACACTTCTTTGGTTGAACTAGAAGCTTTTGTTTTTTCCATACCGATATTTATTTTTCCATGTGGTTTTATCGTGGTGACTAGAGATGAGCGAAGAAATGAAAAATTCGATTCGGCTGATTCGGCGAATTCCAGTGTGAAATTCG